TAAGTGGGCATTTAGAAAATATCTCTCCTTCAGACTTTCACAACTGGTAACTTCTGGAGAAAATTCCTGCTTGAACAAAGATAGTCAAGCTCTAACTTTACAAGGATAGCTGAATATGTTTAGAGGGAAAAGCCATCCCGTCCAAAAATACGTAAAAGGAGACTATTTCAAGATCCAAGGAGGACCTAGCGCGGTGTGAGACATCTCAAAGTAAAGCTATTGATGAGAATTCTAATAAGTTATGTCACATACAGTAAGTAGAAAACTCCTCACTGGATCCCTGTCATCACCTTGATGGACACAGGATTTGACAGTAGGATCTCGACTTTTGCCAGTGCTTCTTGTTACCCTTCTCCCGTACCCAACACAAGTCTTTGTCATTATATCTCACAGATGGACTCCCCGGTCTTCTCACCACATGTCTTGGTCATGGAATCTTACAGATGGAATCCCTGGTCTTCTCACCACATGTCTTGGTCATGGAATCTCACAGATGGACTTCCCGGTCTTCTCACCACATATCTTGGTCATGGAATCTCACAGATGGACTTCCCGGTCTTCTCACCACATATCTTGGTCATGGAATCTTACAGATGGACTCCCCGGTCTTCTCACCACATGTCTTGGTCATTGAATCTCACAGATGGACACCCCGGTCTTCTCACCACATGTCTTGGTCATTGAATCTCACAGATGGACACCCCGGTCTTCTCACCACATGTCTTGGTCATGGAATCTTACAGATGGACACCCCGGTCTTCTCACCACATGTCTTGGTCATTGAATCTCACAGATGGACACCCCGGTCTTCTCACCACATATCTTGGTCATGGAATCTCACAGATGGACACCCCGGCCTTCTCACCACATGTCTTGGTCATGGAATCTCACAGATGGACTCCCCGGTCTTCTCACCACATGTCTTGGTCATGGAATCTTACAGATGGACACCCCGGTCTTCTCACCACATGTCTTGGTCATGGAATCTCACAGATGGACTCCCCGGTCTTCTCACCACATGTCTTGGTCATTGAATCTCACAGATGGACTTCCCGGTCTTCTCACCACATGTCTTGGTCATGGAATCTTACAGATGGACTCCCCGGTCTTCTCACCACATGTCTTGGTCATTGAATCTCACAGATGGACTTCCCGGTCTTCTCACCACATATCTTGGTCATGGAATCTCACAGATGGACACCCCGGTCTTCTCACCACATGTCTTGGTCATTGAATCTCACAGATGGACTTCCCGGTCTTCTCACCACATGTCTTGGTCATTGAATCTCACAGATGGACTTCCCGGTCTTCTCACCACATATCTTGGTCATGGAATCTCACAGATGGACACCCCGGCCTTCTCACCACATGTCTTGGTCATTGAATCTCACAGATGGACTCCCCGGTCTTCTCACCACATGTCTTGGTCATGGAATCTTACAGATGGACTCCCCGGTCTTCTCACCACATGTCTTGGTCATTGAATCTCACAGATGGACTCCCCGGTCTTCTCACCACATGTCTTGGTCATTGAATCTCACAGATGGACTTCCCGGTCTTCTCACCACATGTCTTGGTCATTGAATCTCACAGATGGACTTCCCGGTCTTCTCACCACATGTCTTGGTCATGGAATCTCACAGATGGACACCCCGGTCTTCTCACCACATGTCTTGGTCATTGAATCTCACAGATGGACTTCCCGGTCTTCTCACCACATATCTTGGTCATGGAATCTCACAGATGGACACCCCGGCCTTCTCACCGCATGTCTTGGTCATTGAATCTCACAGATGGACTTCCCGGTCTTCTCACCACATGTCTTGGTCATGGAATCTTACAGATGGACTCCCCGGTCTTCTCACCACATGTCTTGGTCATTGAATCTCACAGATGGACACCCCGGTCTTCTCACCACATGTCTTGGTCATTGAATCTTACAGATGGACACCCCGGTCTTCTCACCACATGTCTTGGTCATGGAATCTTACAGATGGACTCCCCGGTCTTCTCACCACATGTCTTGGTCATTGAATCTCACAGATGGACACCCCGGCCTTCTCACCGCATGTCTTGGTCATTGAATCTCACAGATGGACTTCCCGGTCTTCTCACCACATGTCTTGGTCATGGAATCTCACAGATGGACACCCCGGTCTTCTCACCACATGTCTTGGTCATTGAATCTCACAGATGGACTTCCCGGTCTTCTCACCACATATCTTGGTCATGGAATCTCACAGATGGACACCCCGGTCTTCTCACCACATGTCTTGGTCATGGAATCTTACAGATGGACTTCCCGGTCTTCTCACCACATATCTTGGTCATGGAATCTCACAGATGGACTCCCAGGTCTTCTCACCACATGTCTTGGTCATGGAATCTCACAGATGGACTCCCAGGTCTTCTCACCACATGTCTTGGTCATGGAATCTCACAGATGGACACCCCGGTCTTCTCACCACATGTCTTGGTCATGGAATCTCACAGATGGACACCCCGGTCTTCTCACCACATGTCTTGGTCATGGAATCTTACAGATGGACACCCCGGTCTTCTCACCACATGTCTTGGTCATGGAATCTCACAGATGGACTCCCCGGTCTTCTCACCACATGTCTTGGTCATTGAATCTCACAGATGGACTTCCCGGTCTTCTCACCACATGTCTTGGTCATGGAATCTTACAGATGGACTCCCCGGTCTTCTCACCACATGTCTTGGTCATTGAATCTCACAGATGGACTTCCCGGTCTTCTCACCACATATCTTGGTCATGGAATCTCACAGATGGACACCCCGGTCTTCTCACCACATGTCTTGGTCATTGAATCTCACAGATGGACTTCCCGGTCTTCTCACCACATGTCTTGGTCATTGAATCTCACAGATGGACTTCCCGGTCTTCTCACCACATATCTTGGTCATGGAATCTCACAGATGGACACCCCGGCCTTCTCACCACATGTCTTGGTCATTGAATCTCACAGATGGACTTCCCGGTCTTCTCACCACATGTCTTGGTCATTGAATCTCACAGATGGACACCCCGGTCTTCTCACCACATGTCTTGGTCATTGAATCTCACAGATGGACTTCCCGGTCTTCTCACCACATGTCTTGGTCATGGAATCTTACAGATGGACTCCCCGGTCTTCTCACCACATGTCTTGGTCATTGAATCTCACAGATGGACACCCCGGTCTTCTCACCACATGTCTTGGTCATGGAATCTCACAGATGGACTTCCCGGTCTTCTCACCACATGTCTTGGTCATGGAATCTTACAGATGGACTCCCCGGTCTTCTCACCACATGTCTTGGTCATTGAATCTCACAGATGGACTCCCCGGTCTTCTCACCACATGTCTTGGTCATTGAATCTCACAGATGGACTTCCCGGTCTTCTCACCACATGTCTTGGTCATTGAATCTCACAGATGGACTTCCCGGTCTTCTCACCACATGTCTTGGTCATGGAATCTCACAGATGGACACCCCGGTCTTCTCACCACATGTCTTGGTCATTGAATCTCACAGATGGACTTCCCGGTCTTCTCACCACATATCTTGGTCATGGAATCTCACAGATGGACACCCCGGCCTTCTCACCGCATGTCTTGGTCATTGAATCTCACAGATGGACTTCCCGGTCTTCTCACCACATGTCTTGGTCATGGAATCTTACAGATGGACTCCCCGGTCTTCTCACCACATGTCTTGGTCATTGAATCTCACAGATGGACTTCCCGGTCTTCTCACCACATGTCTTGGTCATGGAATCTCACAGATGGACACCCCGGTCTTCTCACCACATGTCTTGGTCATTGAATCTCACAGATGGACTTCCCGGTCTTCTCACCACATATCTTGGTCATGGAATCTCACAGATGGACACCCCGGTCTTCTCACCACATGTCTTGGTCATGGAATCTTACAGATGGACTTCCCGGTCTTCTCACCACATATCTTGGTCATGGAATCTCACAGATGGACTCCCAGGTCTTCTCACCACATGTCTTGGTCATGGAATCTCACAGATGGACTCCCAGGTCTTCTCACCACATGTCTTGGTCATGGAATCTCACAGATGGACACCCCGGTCTTCTCACCACATGTCTTGGTCATTGAATCTCACAGATGGACTTCCCGGTCTTCTCACCACATGTCTTGGTCATTGAATCTCACAGATGGACTTCCCGGTCTTCTCACCACATGTCTTGGTCATGGAATCTTACAGATGGACTTCCCGGTCTTCTCACCACATGTCTTGGTCATGGAATCTTACAGATGGACTCCCCAGGTTTTCGCTCTCTCTCTCTCACAACATATCTTGATACTAACCAGTGACTGATATCCAAGGGGTTATTTCTCATACTGGCTATTGCCCATCTCTTTTTAATCTCCTATAATGAGGTCGCTACATCTCTGATACCAAAGTATCTCTGTCACAAAACCTATTTTTGTAATTTTTTTTTATTTAAACCGCTCACTCTGCCTTGTTGTGTTAATTGAATCCAGTCTATTTTATCTCCATTTATCTCAAAAGGATTTGGTATTTATATTACATATTCAACAGAAGACAGAACAATCCACGGCAAGTGTGTGTGTTTAAGATTCAAATATATACATTTTCAGTTCTATAAGTACAAACAACATATCCATGGCTTGTAGTTAAGCTAAGTATACTCATGGAAAACATTTAAAGAAGTGGAACGTCTTTCATGTCGCCGGGGTCGTTATTTTTTATTTAAGAAGACAGAGGCAATTTTGTTCATACTTTGTTATCTCGTGTCTCTTCAATAAAGGTCACTGTAATATCTTTCAGAGTTATTGTCCGAATCCCGATATATAAATACTATGAGGTACAAATTTATTAAGTTTTGTCAATGAGAGTGTACATTAACTATCTTATCTCACTCAGGTCTTAACAAGTACTGGGATGCTCACTCAGTTGGCTTACGTCCATCCTGTGATCCAGTTACCAACCGTGGGTGTGCAGGGTAGCCTAGTGGACATGGCATCTGCCCGGTAAGCGGAACACTGTGGGTTCGATTCCCATCCCTGGACACTTTTATTTTTCCGTTTATCATTACTCTTCACAATTCATCCTTTCATACCTCATCTCTAAGGTTAAAAATAATCATTATTTCTCCTTAAAATAAATTTGAATTTTTCGTTGAAAAGAAACGCATGCGGTATAATTTTAAAATGTCGTTCTACATTTGACATGTTGGATCTGACATCGCTCTAGTTTCCTAGTAGCCTCCCTTCTCAGACAATCTCCTTCCTGACCCTGAGATGGCCATCACTCTTCCGTGCACAGTTGTCGTATTGTCCCCTCAACGACCTTGTCCAAACGCACGCAAAGCAAATATATATATACTAGAAGAAAGGCCCGGGCAACGCCCGGGGTTTACCCGGGTGCGAATATATTTTAAAAACGTTGTCTTGGGTGGTCGCTATAGACAGGGTGGTCTGTATAGACAGGTGTATGTATCACACAGCCGATAACAGGGTTGTCTAGAATGGCCGCTATATACAGGGTGGTCTGTATAGACAGGTGTATGTATCACACAGCCGATAACAGGGTTGTCTTGGGTGGCCGCTATAGACAGGTGTATGTATCACACAGCTGATAACAGGGTTATCTAGAATGGCCGCTATATACAGGGTGGTCTGTATAGACAGGTGGATGTATCACACAGCTGATAACAGGGTTGTCTAGAGTGGTCGCTATAGACAGGGTGGTCTGTATAGACAGGTGGATGTATCACACAGCTGATAATAGGGTTGCCTAGAGTGGCCGCTATAGACAGGGTGGTCTGTATAGACAGGTGGATGTATCACACAGCTGATAACAGGGTTGTCTAGGGTGGTCGCTATAGACAGGGTGGTCTGTATAGACAGGTGGATGTATCACACAGCTGATAACAGGGTTGTCTAGAGTGGCCGCTATAGACAGGTGTATGTATCACACAGCAGATAACAGGGTTGTCTAGAGTGGTCGCTATAGACAGGGTGGTCTGTATAGACAGGTGGATGTATCACACAGCTGATAACAGGGTTGTCTAGAGTGGTCGCTATAGACAGGGTGGTCTGTATAGACAGGTGTATGTATCACACAGCTGATAACAGGGTTGTCTAGGGTGGTCGCTATAGACAGGATGGTCTGTATAGACAGGTGGATGTATCATACAGCTGATAACAGGGTTGTCTAGAGTGGCCGCTATAGACAGGTGTATGTATCACACAGCTGATAACAGGGTTGTCTAGAGTGGTCGCTATAGACAGGGTGGTCTGTATAGACAGGTGGATGTATCACACAGCTGATAACAGGGTTGTCTAGAGTGGTCGCTGTAGACAGGGTTGTCTGTATAGACAGGTGTATGTATCACACTGCTGATAACAGGGTTGCCTAAGGTGACCGCTATAGACAGGGTGGTCTGTATAGACAGGTGGATGTAACACACTGCTGATAACAGGGGTGTCTAGAATGGCCGCTATAGACAGGTGTATGTATCACACAGCTGATAACAGGGTTGTCTAGAGGGGGGCGGGCAGGGAGGTCACGTGTTTGCTGGCAGCCAATGAGCGCGCATTCTATCCGTGAGCTTCAGACAGACAGACAGAATAAGGCAAATATATAAGTAGATTATATATAAAGAAAAATTAGATTTGGAATTAGATTGATATACAAGGTATGTCCCATAAGTTCCCGGACTGGGTCCATAAAAAAATAAATAAATGAAAAATGTAAATGAATTTGACTGTTTATTATAGAAAAAATATCTGGCTACACGGTGGTACCAATATCGAGGAGGTACTTGCGCGCGCGCCAAGGTTATTCTAATTTATTTAAAGGTCACACCTAGCGCTGCGGCGATTTTACGATGGAACAAAAATTGAAGCAGAGGATTTGCATAGAATTTTGTGCGAAACTTCAAATATCAGCAACCGAAACTTTTAAAATGCTTAATAAAGCATTCCCCAATGACGCCCCAAAGAGAACAACTGTTTTTGAATGGCATTCTAGATTTTAAGCTGGCAGAATTTCCATTGAAGATGATCCTCGTCAAGGACGCCCAAAATTTCAAAGGACTGATGAAAATGTGCAAAAAATCACCGATTTGATAAAAGAAAATCCTCGAACCACTTTGCTGGAGCTAGAGCAAGACACAGACATCTCTAAAACAACGATTGTAAGGATCGTAACCGAAGATTTGAAGCTCAAAAAGACTCCTGCAAAATTCATCCCAAGATTCCTCACCAATGAGCAAAAACTGTGTCGGCTTGCAACCTGTGAGGACATGATGGAAATGACAAGAACGGATCCAGAATGGAAAGACAAGATAATCACAGGCGACGAGACATGGGTCTATGGCTATGACCCTGAAACCAAACCTCAATCTGCCGAGTGGAGAGGTTAGGGTGAGCCTAGACCCAAAAAATCCAGAAACAAGGTGTTGCTGGTCGCTTTTTCGGATAACAAGGGCATTGTTCATCACGAGTATCTTCCTGCAGGCCAAACAGTTATTAAGGAAATGTATTTGGGCATTCTTCGCCGTCTAAGGGAAGCGATTCGAAAAAAAAAGGCCAGAAAAATGGACTAATGGTGGCTGGATCCTACACCATGACAATGCTCGCCCTCACACAGCGCACTTGATGACTAGCTTTTTGGCGAAAAACGGGACACAAATCCTATTTCAACCACCCTATTTCCCAGACATCGCACCAAATGACTTTTTCCTGTTCCCCAAACTTAAAGCAGTTCTAAAAGGAAGACATTTTGACACCAGGGGTGACATAATAGAAAAATCGCCGTTAGCATTGAAGTACATTCCAAAAGAGGCTTATAAAAACTGTTTCGACAATTGGGAGAAACGATGGCGCTGGTGCGTTGAAGCAAGGGGGGATTACTTTGAAAAGTTTTAATAAAAAATTTTTAAAAAATCTTACCTTTTTTTTTTTATGGACCCAGTCCGGGAACTTATGGGACATACCTTGTATATGCTATGGTAATTATTTGCTGGTTCTTTTTAGTACTAAATAGTATTGGTAATGCAGTCGTGGCAAAAATCTTGAAAATATAATAATAAAAATGTGAAGATTAAAAATAGCTTTAATTGAGCTTATGGAATATAGAAAACATAATTTGATAAAAGTACTGCCTGACTTACGGCGTAAGAATTAAAAAATGAAAAACTTATTTACATAATGTACAAAAGATTTGAGCCGGCCATCGGGAAAGGAGGAAATATCTTTATTTTACGTGGCTGCTAACCAAAATGAATGATTTTTGAGCCCCGATGGACGCATAAAGCGGAATATAAATAAAGCACAGTTGGAGGGGCCTGGGCCATCGGGAAGCAACAACAATGATGTTTTATAGGGGAAGCATGACCTCTCGCGGTCGATTTAGCTGAGTATTTGAACCTATGAAATATAATTTTAAATAAAATAATATTTTAATATAACATATATATATAACCAATATCACATTTTATAGCGTAGCGGTAAGTCATTGCAGGGATTATTTGAATGTTTAGAGCTTACTCTCCAAGTATAACACATGTTTATATTGTAACATAGAAAATTAGGAAAGACAAACTTCAAGTTGACAATTTATTAATGTAAAATCTAATTAAAACTAATAAAATAGTAGAGAGGTAATGAGAACATTTTCACAGTATATCAAAAAATACAAATATCGAAATTAAAAAAAATATATTCTTATAGAATGATAAATAATCTGCTGCAATAAATAAAACCAGAGTACAATACGATAGAAGAAAAACTCCCCTCTCGCCAATTGGTTATCTCACCGGGTGAATACAAATCTAGATTGTAGAACGACATTTGTAAATTATCCCGCATGTGTTTCTTTTGAACGAAAAATCGATATTTATTTTAAGGAGAAATAACGATTATTTCTAACCTTAGGGATGAAGTATGAAAGGATGAATTGTGAAGAGTAATGATAAACGGAAAGCTAAAAGTGGGGATTCCCATCCCTGGACACTTTTATTTTTCCGTTTATCATTACTATTCACAATTCATCCTTTCATAACTCATCCCTAAGGTTAGAAATAATCTGGGCACTTTTATTTTTCCGTTCATCATTACTCTTTACAATTCATCCTTTCATACTTCTTCCCTAAGGTTAGAAATAATCGTTATTTCTCCTTAAAATAAATTTCGATTTTTCGTTTAAAAGAAACACATGCGGGATAATTTTCAAATGTCGTTCTACAATTATAAGCCGCATTATATCATATTATAAATTACAAATCTAGATTATAGAACGTAAAACTCTTCGCCTCACACACGCGATTTTGTACTTTCTACAATATACTACTCCAGGCGATTATCTAACTTATATAAATCTGGCGGATAGTTTTGCATCTGTTTTGAAGAGATAGGTGCTCTTTCTTTTTATAGATCAATACGTATGCCTCCAGTGAAATAGCTATCTAGAATTCAGCCATAGAATTGGCGTAGCCTCTTTTCCAGTTAAGCACCACTTTGGCAAAGTCTCAAGATTTCATGAACCTCGCGTGGATCTCGTGAAATCAAATCCCTGGAATGTGAAGGCCCATAAGTCCGAAACAAAGATCTACAGGTTGGCTTTCTAGATTTTCCAGGTTTGTTCGGGGTCTTGACCGCACTGCGTGGCTTCCCCGGCGGCGTTCTGGCACGTCCTGTGTCCGTCGGTGGCGTGGGGTTATTGGACATCAGCCCCCAACTCGCCTGCTTCAAGGGGGTTCAGGCTGCACGAAGAGCTGGAGGTAAGAACGCCTACTCATGGATGGCGGACTCTGGAACCTGGATGGCCTCCTTGTCTTAGAGTTCCAGGGTGCTTCCCCGTCGTCGTCGGCTGATGGAACTCTGGGAACAGGCCTCCTCCATCCTGGGCCTGAACCACCGGGTGGTGCCCACCCTACTGAACCTGCCCCTCGTCGGCGCCTGCAGGTTCCTGGTGACTCCATCGCTTCGAGCTCCCTCAAGGTGGGTCGGAGTGCGAGTCCGAGACATGGCGGGCCTTGATCCGCCGCTCAATACTAAAATTG